TACTATAGAAAGAAATCCAATGATAAAACATGTGTTCACTAAAGTTTAACTCTGGTACCATATGAAAGTTTGAGTATACATCCAACCTAAACCCAGACGTGGAGCTAGTATATAAACCTTATGGTTTCGGCTTATAATATTTTAAAGTTAATTATTGAGTTCTAAATTAATAATTTGTACATATTTATTGAATTTATTGGCAAATATAGAGTTTGAACAAAAGTAACTGGATTCGACCGAACCAGCAACCAACACTGTGGCTCCGCCCCCGCCTAAAGCTTAAGACATGCAATATATAGTTTATGTGTACAACAGAGTGAAAGATAAGTGTATTTCTCTACCATGAACAATGTTGAGGTTTTAGATTCAATTCTTGTCAATATACTTAAGGAAAATTAACTGTTGCTTATATTAAATTCTTCTTACTTAGTCAAGTAGTTTATGAACAATTTTAAATTGATTTTTGTAATGGTTGAGAAGTAGCTAGTACGAGACAATCTTGCATGCTTTTTATGTTTTCTTATTTTCTTTTGAACCATAGAAAGGAGTTGCCCGAACCATGCCATTCTTGTGCTTGTTACATCTTAAGGTCAACTTTGAGTAGATGACTTTCATTTTCCAATTCTATATACTCTTTTATAGACGGAGATTTGGTTTTGTCATCTATTAAAAATGTTATTTTAATTATAAAATTTGAAAAATAAGATAAGAGATCTTTGCAAATTACGGAAGCTCCTTCCCCGTGTAATGGGAGTCTATGCAAATTCATAGCCACGAGATTACATATTTTTATGGTGAAGATTTATTTGCACTCAATATTGCATGAAACAAATAAATATAAGAGATGCACATGTTTTTCGTATAAGTTTTTCTCTTAATTATGATTAGGTGTATATATTTTCGCTAATTTATGATTATATAATGAAACTGTTCAGTCGATAGCTGGTTGTGGGAAAGGATCTTCCTATCTTCCATTATATTAACAACTTTGAGATGAAATTGAAGTTATTTTTGACAAAAATATAGCTATACTGTATCTTATGTCTAGACGTGCCTACAATAAATGTACCGTATGAATTTATTTTGGCCAAATTGAAAAATATTGTGCTATGTGTCCCAAGATATGTCATCCTAACTAGGGGTGTACATAGGTCGGGTTGGTTCGAATTTTTCAATTACCTAACCAAACCAATAGTGTCGAGTTTTTAAATCTATAAACCAAACCCAACTAAACCAACATAGTCGGATTTTTCAATCTCAATTTTTCTTGGATTTTTCGAGTTTTCGGATTTTTCTCCGGTAAAGTCTTCATAGCACAAAATTTGTAACTTGTACTCTAAATATTTCTTTCATCCTAGTAAGATATAACTATATAATATATTTTCCAAGAAAATAACACAATAGTATGAGATAAATCATATTATTATACTAAAATATTCAATAACAAAGATAATTAAATTGCATAAAGCAAATATTGCTAATTAATAAGCCATAATGAAAATTAACGTAGAGCCCGTTAGGATTGGCTTAAAAAAATTGGTATTTCAACAGAAATAGCTATTAAGCCAAAAAAAAAAAAAAA